CACGTTTTCCCTCCCTGAATCTCTGTCCCCAGGCTCTCTTTGGAAGCCATCTTTAATTCATTCCCTCTTAGGTGCAGTAAGGTGCCATCTTCCATGAATTTGGACTTCTCTTTCTGCACACGGTATCCTAATTTGGGCCTCTTATCCAAACCACTGTAACTGCTTCCCATCTGTTTTTTCTACACTCAATTTCACTTTCTCTGATTCTTACATTCCCAGATGGTCAGATTGCTTTTCCAAATGCATATCACTGGTAGTTTTATAATGTCATCTTTCTGTTCAGAGATCTCCAGTAGTGTTTCAAAGACCAGAGTTTCCTTAGGTGGTGTTCTGGCCCTTTGCCAATTCTTATAAATAAAGTTTTATTGGAATATAGTCATCCCCATTCATTTATAGCTGCACTGTTGTTATGGTGGCAGAGTAGTCATTTAGACAGAGACCACATGGTTTGCAAAGCCTAAAATATTTATTATTTGATTTATTATGGGAAGTATTTGCCAATCCCTGCTCTAAAATATGGCTTATAATTTCCCTTTTAGTTTAATTTCCTGAGTCTGGGTTTTCAAGCATTAGTGTCTTAACTTACCTGAGCCCGCTCCGTCCAAAAACACCTCAAGACCACTCTCTTCCTGGAGGCTTCCTGATTTCCATGTCAGTGTGATCTTCCTCCTATCAGCCCACTACACTTTGCTGTGGCATTTCATGCATTCTGACGTCTATGACAATGTTAATGTGCATCCTGTTCCTCCCCTCTTGCTCCAGCCAGGTCTTAAACTCCTTGAGAGCAGAAGCTATGCCTCACCCCCATTAACACCTTCTCAGATGCCTGAACATAGTCATTCAATTGATATTTGGAGACTTACTGGACTCAGAAACGAGAATCTTTTCTTCCGGATGCTTCCAGAATAAACAGTCAACATCCTCTTCTACTAAAAACATGATGAGGAAATGAGCACAAACTATGCTCCTCTAAGAAAACAGTTAAAGATTTGCTTTATTTCTTGTTTTGTTTGGATAAGTGATTGAGGAAGTCCCCAGCTTCTGTATGAGTCTTTCCAGGAAAGAGACAGAGCTGGAACCACAAGAATGAACACGGAATGGGACTTGGCCTCTCCGCTCTCTTAAAGATTTTCTAGGGTGAGGCACTTTCCCAGACTGGCCAAGGCATGAGTCGCCGGTGCTTGTGAATCTTTGCACAAGGGCTTCAATTGTCCTCTGATGAAAAGAACAGAGAATCTCTTGAACAATGGGACTGGTGACCAGAATATTAGAACCAGAAATTATTTGAATGAGAGAAATTTGAATCTTTTGAAAGAGATCTGTGATAGACAGGTTCTGTTGTTTGGATAAGTGACCCCAAAGGCCCACATATTGAAGTTCTGGTCTCTAGCCTGTGGTCCTCTTGGGAAGTGGTAGAATATTTAATAGAGGAGACTTGATTAAAGAGAAGTAGTCCATTAAGGGGAATGCTATTAAGGGGATCTTGTTACCTGGATTCTTTCTTTCTTTTTCTCTTTTTGCTTCCTGGCTTCTATTTGGTGAGAAATTTCCTCTGCCACTTGTCTCCCACAACATGGCCTGTTCACCAGAGACAAAAGCAGCAGAATAATAGCTATGTACTGAAAACTGTGAAGCCATGATCCAAAATAAACCTTTATGATTTTTAAATTTGTTGTCTCGGGTATTTTGTTGTAGTAATAGAAAGCTGACTAATACAAGAGTAATTACCTTTCTGTGGCTACTGTAACAAATTACCCTTAGCCAGATGATTTAACAAACATTGTTTCTCTCACAGTTTTATGGAAGCAGTTTCCTGGGCTAATACTAAGAGGCTAGCAGGGTTATGCTCAGTCTAGAGGCTCCAAGGTATATTCCATTTCCTTTCCTTTCTCAGGTTCTAGTGGCTGGCCACAACCCTTAGCTCAGTGAAGCCTGACTCCAATCACTGTTTCCATCTTCTTCTTGCTGTCCATGTCAAATCTGTTTTCTTCTTTTTAAATTTTTTGTTTCCTCTTTTTAAATATTTTTCATCAGTTTATGTTTTGATACATGATAAACACATTCACTGTAAGGAATTGTTACCTATATACACAACATCTCAGACCAATCTAGTATAATCACTCATCCAATTGTAAGATTCTTAACTCAATTTCGTCAATAACATTCATTTTAGACATAAAAAGTAACTACAATAGACTTAATATTTGTGTCCTAAAATTTGTATATAAATAATAGGATTTGTTGCATATAACCTGATGTTTTTATATTCATACATATTGTGATTTCTGTAGTCAAGATAATTTAGATGTCTATCACCTTATGGTTACAAATATTTTTGTGTGTGGTGAGAACACAAGACCTACTTTCAGCACATTTCAAGTATAAGCTATGGTACATTAAATCTCTAGAGCTTACTTATTTAACATAAAATTAAAAGTCACAGTCTTTATCTTTGCAATCCTCCCATTGCCATCTCCAGTTGCTTTGCAACAACTATTCTACTCTCCACTTGTACAAATTTGACTCTTTTAGATTCCAAGTACAGGTGAGATTATAGAGTATTTGTCTTTCTGTGTCTAATTTATTGAACTTAGCAGAATATCTTTGAGGTCATTTGTGCCCTTAAAAATGGAAGAATTTCCTTCTTCAAGGCCAAACAATATTGCACTGCATGTGGACATTCATTTTCTTTATGTTTCTCATCTGTTGACAGGTGGGTTCCATAGTCTCACTATTGCAGATGACTTTAGTGAATATGAAAGGTATCTCTTGAAGGTATTGATTTTACCTCCCCTAGATTTTTAATATAATTTAAAATCAGAAAGTATAGAAACTTCAACCTTTCACAAGACAGGGTTAGCTCTCCAGCGTCTTTATGGTTCCAGATGAATTCTTTTTTGTTTCTTTGAAAAATGCCTCCATCATTGTGACAGGAATTGGACACAATCTCTGGATTGCATCAAATTTCATGAGCATTTTAATAATATTCTTCTAAATCATAAATCTTGATATTTTCCCAATTATTTGTGTTTTCTTCTATTTCTTTTATCAATATCTTATAGTTCTAAATGTAACAGATCTTCACACTCTTGGTAATTTTTTCTTAAAAATTTTGAATTATAAATGGGCCTGCTTTCTTAATGTCCTTTTCAGGCAGTTCAATGATGCTTAAAGAAATGCTACTGATTTTTGTATGTTGATTTTGTATCCTGTAACTTTACTGAATGAATTTACTAATTATAAGTATTATGGAGTATACAGTTTTCTACCTACAAGGGCATGCCACCTACAAACAGAGATAATTTTTATTTATGTTAGCTGGGTATATTTAATTTATTTTTCTTGTTTAATCACTCTGGGTAGGACATCTAACACTATACTGAATAGCACTGGGAGTGGGCATCCTAGCCTTGTCTCAGATCTTATAGGGAAAGATTTCAGTAATGCCTCACCTCATCAGTATGACTTTAGCTATGCACTTTTCATAAGTGTTTTTATTTTACTATCCTGTGATAAATTCATTCTATATCCATTTTCTTGAGAATTTTTATCAGAACAGGTGTTGAACTTTGTTAAATACTTTTTTCTAGATTTATCAAGATTATCATTTTTATTTCATTCTGTTAAAGTGTGATGTCACATTTATTAATTTGCATATGTCCATTTATTCATAAATATCTCAATGTGATCATTCTTTTTGCTGAGTAGTACCCCATTGTATAAAAATACCACAGCTTTTTTATCCATTCCTCAGCTGGTGAACACTTAGGTTGTTTCCAAGATCTGGCTATTACAAACTGTGTTGCTATAAACATGGGTGCACATATATCACTGTGGTATAATGCTTTCAGTTCTTCTGGGAATATGCCTAGAAGTGGAATAGCTGGGTCAAATGGGACTTCCAATCCCAGCTTTCTGAGGAGTCTCCAGACTGATCTCCACAGTGGTTGCACCAGTCTACACTCCCACCAACAGTGCAGGAGAGTTCCTTTCTCCCCACAGTCTCTCCAGCATTTGTTGTTGGTAGTTTTCTTGATCTTGCCCATTCTTTCTGGAGTGAGATGGAATTTCAGTGTTGTTTTAATTTGCGTTTCTCTAATGACCAATGATGCTGAACATTTTTTCATGTATTTATTTGCCATTTGTATTTCTTCATCTGAGAACTGTGTATTCATCTCAGATGCCCATTTTTGGATTGGGTCTTTGAATTTTGGGAGTCTGACTTATTTTAATTCTATGTTTTAGACAGAAGTCCTTTGTCTGCGGAACATCTTCTGATCTATCCCATGGATCTTCAGATCTGCTTTTATTCCAGTACCATGTTGATTTTATTACAATAGCTTTGTAGTATAACTTCAAGTCAGAGATTGTGATGCCTCCTGCCTTGCCTTTGCTGCTTAGAATTGCCTTTGGTATTCTAGGTCTCTTCTGATTCCAGATGAATTTTAGGAGTGATTTCTCTAGATCTATGAGGTATGTTGATGGTATTTTCATTGAGATTGCATTGAATCTGTATAACAGTTTCAGGAGAATGGCCATTTTTACAATATTTATTCTTCCCATCCATGAACAAAGGATGTCTTTCCGTTTTCTGTGATCCTCTTTGATTTCTTTTTCAGGGTATTATAATTTTCTCTGTAGAGATCTTTTACTTCTTTTGTGAGATTAATTCCTAAGTATTTCATCTTTTTGGATGCTAGTATGAAGGATGTGACTTCTCTTATTTCTCTCTCTTGTTGTTAGTGTATAGGAATGCTACTGATTTTTGAGTATTGACATTGTATCCAGCTATACTGCTGAATTTATTTATTATACCTAGGAGTCTTTCAGTGGATTTTTGGGGGTCTTCTATGTAGAGTATCATGTCATCTGCACATAATGATAATTTAACTTCCTCTTTTGCTATCCTTATTCCTTTTATTTCTCTCTCTTGTCTAATTGCTCTGGCTAGTATTTTCAGTACTATATTAAATAGGAGCAGTGATAAGGGACAACCTTGTAAAAATATGGAACCCTTCATGAATTTGCGTGTCTTCCTTGTGCAGAGACCATGCAAAATCTTCTCTGTATCATTCCAATTTTAGTAAATGTGCGCCGAATCGAGCACTTAATTTGCATATATTGTCCCAATAATGTTTCCCAAAAATAAATTCCTCTTGGTCATGATGTATAACTTTTTTGAGAGCAGGTGAATTATTTTGGAAATATTTGGCTTGCTAGCATTACAGACTTACGTAAACATTTATTAAATATATTGACCAATACTTTCTTGTTGTATTGTTTGTTTGTACATGTTTGCAGAACATACATTTTGCAATTATCTTGTGGAGCTGGTATGTGTGCATAACAAAGTTTGTGAAATTTCCAATCTCATAAGGTTTTGGAGTTTAAGATTTGATCTTTCTTTGAAAGTTTCGCAGAACTCATCAGTGAAGACATCATTAGGACCTGGATTTTTCTTTGCTGGGAAGTTTTTGATTACTGTTTCAACTTCCTTCTTTCTTATTGACTGCTCAGGCTTTCTATTTCTTCTTGATTCCATTTTGGCAGGTTGTATTTTTCAGAGAATTCACCCATTTCTTCTAAGTTATCTAATTTTGCTTGGCTCCTAAGTATTCAAAAAAATCCTTGCTAAATGGAATTAAATTTCACTTAAACCTACTTCCATACATATTTTAAGTATGACCTAACACTTTCTCCCTACATACCACAATGAACTGTAGCCTAAACTGGTTAGTAGGTACACTTTTTAAACAAAGCTTAGCCAGTCAAAATTACTTCCACCCAATCAGATGCCAGAAATTGCCAAAACATGCAAGCAAATGCTGACCACAGCCAATCAGGGTATTTCTTTAAGTCACATTTTTTTCTGTCTCTATACAGACATGTGGTGTGGTGGAGCGTTCCAAACCATTTTCAGTCTGGACTAATATTTGATTGAAAAATTGGTCCTTTCTTCAAACTCTGTTAAGTTTAATTTGTGTAAATTTTCCTTTTAGCTCTACCATAGTGCTTTTTGTTTCTAAAGCATCAAGTATAATATCTACTCTTTAGTTTCTGATTTAGTCTAGGTAAGAATGTCAATTTTATTTGTTTCAGAAAATCTCTTAGTTTTATTGATTTTTAAATTATTTTAAATTATTTAGTTAACTTATTTTGGTTGTAGCTTACTTTTTCTCTCCTGCTAATTTTGGTCTTCATTTTTTTTTCTAATTCTCTGAGATATAAATTCAGGTTGTTCATTTGCAGTATTTCTTTTTATTTAATGAAAACAAACATTTGCTTCTTTACACTGACCTTTTACTACTTTTCTTGCTGCAACCTGAAGTTCTGGTATGCTGTATCTTTATTTGTGCTTTTTGAGACATTTTTAAAATTCACTTTTGTTTTCCTTTGTAAACTAATGGTTATTGAGAGTATGCATTAAGCTTCCGTGTATTTGTGAATTTTCCCATTTTGATACTTTTACTCGTTTCTAATTTAAAAGATACTAAAAGATGCTTGAAATAGCTCTGACTTTTTTAAATGTTCTAAGACTTTTAAACTAATTAATTTTACTTATTTATTTATTTTGGTATTTGGACGCAGGATCTCACTATGTACTTCAGGTTGGACTTGAACTCTCTGTGTACCCCAGGTTGGCCTCAAACTCCCAGCAATCCTCCTTCCTGTCTCCCAAATGCTGGGATTACTGACATGTGCTACCATGCCCAGCTTCTAAGACTTGTTTTGTGGTCTACTATGTGTGTGTGTTGCTATCTTAGAGAATGTTCTATATATAATTGAGAAGATTGTATTCTATTGGGTAAAAGGTCTTAAATATGTGTATTAGGTCCATTTGGTTTATACTGTTCAAACTAGCTATTTTTAATTGATTTTCTGTATGGCTATCCTATCTATTATTAAAATTAGAATATAGCTGTCTCTTACAATTATTATATTGCCATCAATTTCTCCCTTTGTATCTGTCAATATTTGCTTTATATATTATGGTGCTTTGCTGTTGGGTGCATATGTATTTAAATTGTTATATCTTTTGACCTTTTAAGTCATTATATAATGACATGCTTGTGTCTAGAGACATTTTATTTAAATTATATCTTGTATGGTATGAATATAATTACTCCTGCTTTTTTGTTTTTGATTACAGTTTTCTTGAAATACCTTTCCCTTTCATATTACTTTCAGTCTATGTGTGTGCTATGGTTTAGATATAAAACGTCCCCTGAAGTCTCATGTGTTCAGAGGTGTTTGGAAGGTGATTGGATCATGGGACACTACATGCATCTTTAGTCTAATCCATTGATGAATTCATAGCTCAATGTGCTGTTAGGATCTGGGACAGTGTTGAAGGAGGTGAATTGCTGAGGCCATGCCATTATAAGATATATCTCTCATGCTAACTTTTCCTCTCTGATTCTTGGCTGCCATGAATTGAGAACTTTTCCTCCACTATCCCACAAACTAAATCCTCTGAAACCATGAACCAAAATCAAACTTTTCCTCCTTAAACTGTGGGTGTAAGATTTTTGTTCCAGCAGTAAGAAAGTGACTGATACAAGTCATTAGATTCAAGTGTTTTTGAATCTAAAGTTAGTCTTTAATAGACAGAAATCACTATCTTATTTTCCTAGTTTGTTCAGCTATACTACATCTTAGGTCCCCGAATTAAAAGTAAATATATTTTAACATATCTTAGCTAAAATATCTCATTTTTGAAAATTAAGATAATATGTGATTGTATGTAACTATAACAGCTCTTCCTAGAACCTTGGAAAAGGTCAACTGAGTGTCCATGAAGCTCAAGATTCATTAATTCATGGGCAGTTTATCCCTGTTTTTAGGAGTCCCACGTGTGAACCCTGTAATGACTGAACAGGGAAGAGAGCTCATTGGCCTATTCAGAGATAGTCAGGTCACTCAGCTTATCATCCGATAGCTTGGCAAGAGCTTTCTTCTAAATTTTTAGTTCAATCTGTTTGTTAAATCTTGTGGGAAACAAGTTGTAAATTTCTCAAAAAGTTAACACTGAATTATCATATGATCCAGAAATTGCACTCCTGAGTAGGTACTCAAAGGAGCTGAGAGCAGTGCCTTGAATAGACACATGCCTTGTCAATGTTCATAACAGCGTTATTTACAGTAGCCAAAAGAGGAAAACAGCCCATGACTGAGAAATAGAGGGAGCCCACTATTGACCACGTGTCCCTCAGGAGATGACTGAGCAAAGCAAGTATGTTATGTACATACAACGGAATATTACTCAGCCATAAAAAGAATGAAGTTCTGATACATGATACAACATGGGCAAACATGCAGAAGAAATTATGCTGAGTAAAAGAAAACAAAAACAAGAAAATAAATATTCTATGATTCTATCTACATGAAATATCCACACTAGGAAATACATAGAGGTAGAAAGTAGATTGGAGATTAGCAGGGAATGAAGAGAGGAAGTAGAAATGGGGGATTATTGTTTAATATATCCGAGTTTCTGTTTGGGGTGATGGGAAGGTTTTGAAAACAGTGGTAATATTTGCAAAATATCAGAAATGTGAATAATATCTCTTAGCTGTCCGCCTAGAAATTGCTAAATTTCTGTTATGGATATTTTACCACAAGAAAATAATATTAATATAAGAGCAAGACAAGATTGAGTATTTGAAAGGAATTTGTCTCAAAATAAAGATATTTATGCATAAAAATATCTTCCTGGATTTTTTACATGAAAATATTCTAAAATGATCTCTGGAATAAGACTTGAATAGGGCTCATTTCAAACTAAATATTTTTATATATTTATATTTATGAATTATAGATTCAATGCCAATCGATGTCAACTTGTTAGCCATTCAGCAATCCTCCCTCCACTTGTCAATAATTGACTATGGATGAATTAAACAGCAGTGAACATGGAGTATGGAGGAACAGTGTGGTTTACTATTGTTGTCTTTTAAGAAAGAAAAATAGATTTAGTGGTGCTTGGCCTGGATTCGTTCCTTTCTGAGACCAAGATCCCCAAGGGCTGTTCAATATGTCTCTTTGTCTGTCTAGTTAGACACTGACAGCCAGCTGGAGAAGAGGGGGACCCAGCTACTCTTGGCACCCAACTCCAGGCAGCACACAGAAGTTTCACGCAGAGAATGGAAGCCTTGGTGAAGGAAGATCAGTGGGTGGGCAGGAGACAGATGTGCTGCCTCAACATTTTGAATCACTTCTCCAAATGCATCTGCCACCTCTGATTTCCTTTCTTTTTCCTCTCTATGTTCCAGTTACCTTCTTGATTTCTTTATTGAAGATTTATTCAAACCCTGAATTAGGTAGAATAAGCAATGATTTAAACAAACTCCAGAGTGGCTTCCACAATAAAACTTTCATTTTTCATTTATGCAAAACCCAATGTGACTGCTCCCAGGAGACAGTGCTTTCTCTGCAGCTACTTGGAATGGAAGCTTCTTCCATTTTGTGGTTTCACTATCTCCTGAGCTTTGAAGTTCTTCTGTGAATCCTATGGATTTAGCTATTAAAGGAGTGTGACTGTGAGAAGGCATAGGGTTGCTTTTAGAGAAGACACATGTACATCTCTTGTGCCTGCATTCCATTAGCCAGAACATGGTCACATGGCCTCAGCTAGCTGCAAAGGATTCTGGGATTTACAAGCAGTTTGGGTGAGCACATAATGGTGTTGTTTGTTTATTTTTTATCACAGAGACTTTTAAAGCCATATAATTGCCTGTCTTTTCCCATGTCCTGTGCTGTTTCATTCTTACTCCAGCATCACAAGGTGAGATTGGCCTTGCCTGCCTGAGGGAGGAAGTGGAAACACAGAAACTCGAACACAGGACGCAGGCCTGGATGAGAAGCCTGGCTATACACTTTACTGCTGGTGCATGAGATGCCTTCCCTCATGACCTGCTTCGAGCTCTGGGGCAGCAGAGATAGCCTCTTCCCAGGGAGAGACCCCCGTGGAGCATCTGGAGTCCATATGCTGTTGGCTTCCACGAGGGCTCTGAGTGTGATGGCAAGTACTGGGCTTAATCCCTTGAATCCTAAAGGTCTGCTTTTTGTCTGTAGGAGATCCTCTCTTCCCATTTGTGTCTCAGAGGG